TTGCGTCACTGCATTATGATATGAAAGGCTCAGTACAGTGTGGCACAAAACGCTTATGCGCATCCCGAGTGGAGAATGATGCGCTTAAAGCCACATGGAGTTACAGCGCACAGCGCATCGAGTCCGCATTGATGCAAGCTCTACAATACACTTCTTTTTGATAGTCAAAGCGGGGGTTACGTTTTTACACGTCGTACAGAATAACCCTAAAGGCACCAAGGTGGCGGTGCCACCGGCTTTATATTAAATATAAATATAGCTGTGAGCAGCGATAAAGGGCCAAAGCCGGCGGTACCACCATCCCGGTGCCTTTGGGTAACTAAAGGCATCGGGGTTGCGGTGCCACCGGCTTGGGCCCGCAATCGCTGCTCGCAGCTATATTTTTACATTTGATCTTAATCTTGACCTGAAAATATTAAAGCTTTAATTTAATCTGTTTCATATTAATTTAACAATTTAATCTGTTTCATATTTGTTCTATTAAATTAGCTTTTGGCCATTGCTTGTAATTACGTTTATTCGTTCTTATTTTATTACCCTCCTTTAATAACACTTTGACTTTATATTCAGACTATAGTTAAGTCTTATTAGGCCTAGTTTTGCTGTTGTATCAAAAATGTCACTTGTAGGCCAATCTAAAACATTTTTGCTTGTTTATTTGAATAAAAGGTTGCATGGGTCCAAATTGCGCGGCTGTAATGAGTGGTGGGCGCTAATGTGCAGTGGCGCCTCTACGCAAATGCATGAAGAGAAAAAAACTGCCTTCATTAAAAAAAATCAGTTAACTACGTGCAGTGCCGCTGCTGGCCATTTATCATAATTCCTTTATGATGCCCCCCCCTAAAAAATTAATAATTAAATTATTTTTTTAATTTACTAAAGGCAACAATTTGTATTTTATTCTCAATATGTACACACACATTCATTATCCTGTGCCTAACATGATGAAAAAGGCTTTGTTCATGTTGTTTGTCCCCTCACAACAGTTCAAAATGGCCAAATTAGACAAAACTATATTAGCTTAATTGCCTAATTATTTTTTGTCATTCGTTTAACATTTATGACCAAAAAAACTGTCAAATATATACTTACATCCAGTGTTGGGGAGTAGTTAACTACAAGTAGCGACACTACTAACTTAACTACATTTTTCAGTAGCTTGGCTGTAGCTCAGTTGCTTTTTAAACAGTGTAGCTTTTGTAGCGGTGTAGCGCGAGCAAAAGCTACATTGCGTTTGTCGAGCCTGCGCGAATCAGCCCGATGCAAGGATATTCTTCATCTTGTTAGATTACAAACTCATTTTTTGCCATTACCGCCACCTGTTGTTTAATCACGCGTCTTGCGGCTAACGGTTCACTGACGTAAAGAAGTGGATTGACAGTGACACACCCATATTATGATTATGATGGAGCCAGAGGTGACGGCAGATTTGGATGATGGAGAAACAACTAAAGTTAATTACCCATGGCCTTATTTGTCCAAGTTCAATCGGTATTTTTGAGAAAATGTTCTAAATGCAATTTATGTTGAATGTATATTTAGTTCTTGCAATGTTGTAGGCTATTTGTTGCAATTTTGCACTTTTGGCAAACAGTCTGCGATATTTGAGTGTTGTGTGTAATAAAACAATACTCTATGAAATAATAATTGTATTGCATTGTTTTAATTAAACACTAAATATTTTAATTAAAACATTCATCAGACACTTATTCAGTTATTTATAATATATAATTTATAGCATGTTATAATAATAATATGTAATATAATATTTATAATATGTTGTTCAAAAAGCAAAAGTAGTTTCAACGTAGCTAGCTATTTTTTGATAGTAACTTGTAGTGTAGCTAGCTACTTTTCCAAAAGGGTAACTTGACTGTATAACTACTTTACCGTACGAGTAGCTTGTAGCTTGTCAAACTACAGTTTCAGAGTAGTTTTCTTCTCCAACACTGCTTAGCCTACATCTTATCTCGCACTTGACCGTACACTGAAGCATCGAGTTGCACTGTTAAAATTCGCGCTCAGCGTCTGTGAACATAAAGCCCGCCTACTTTGATTTGATTGGCCATCTCAAATATTCTGACATTGACTAGCGGTGACAGACCAATGAGGCTCTGAACACACACCAGAGCCGGCCCGAGGCATAAGCGAACTAAGCGGCCGCTAAGGGGCCACCAGGGGGCCCCCTAATCGGGGTTATTTTTTATTTTTTTGGATTACTTAAACAAGTGACATAAATCAATGAATGAATGAATATGACTGAATGAATCATTCAAGACAACAAAACTCTGATTTAATGATCAATATACCTGCCTACAAGTTACAACTGCTGCTGCTGTGTCTGCCAGCGTTTCAGTCATGCGCACTTTGCGCATAATCCTCTAGACACCTCGCGCGTGCATAGACAATTTGTGCGCAACTGCGCCTAGTCACGAGGTGTTTCTCAATGTCAAGGATACTTCCTTGGCAGGACGGGTCCTTCCAAGTCATTTCCTTCAGAGGCTAGGCAAGGGTCCTCTTTAGCGTTCGAAGAACACGTAAATGGAACAGGCTAGCAAGTGCACGTCATTGCGTCATTACATCAGTGAAAGGTCCGCTTCGGCGCTGCAAAAATCATTGAGCTGGTGTACTGCACTGTTTAAATACACTTGACAGTCCTTATTTTGTCTTGTCAGTCCACATAGAAATAAATAAATAAAGGGATAATGTATAACCAGGCGGTTGCTATAGTGAATACAACCCCTCAAACTCTAATGAAGAGGGGTCTTGATCAGCCGGTTGTATTCGCTGTAACAACCGCCTCGCTATACATTTTCCCACTTATAACATAGCTACCTACCAAATAAATCAATAATTTGACACAAAATATTGATTTAAAAGGGAGTTTATTCATTCAAAAACGATTATATTACCGGAGTGAACAGAACTACCTCCATAGCAACATGATCCAGCTGTTAAAACACATGCAATTGTAAAATATGTGACCAACAGAAAAGGCTATGAAGTAAAAATTAAAAAGTTAATCACCAGTAAAAGGGAACAGCTTTAAATCCCCTCAGCAAATTTGAGCCGATATGTTAAATAGTTTAACAAACATTAAATAAATGGCTAAACTGAAATTATACTTGCTTACATTTGAAAGCATATTGCCGTTATCACTCCAACTCCGCTAACGGTCGACATTTTTTAGTTTTTGAACAAGATAGCAAAGCTGCGCATAGGATTGTGGGTGATTTAAGAGTTCGAAGGCTACACATATGCATCCTTTCCTGTGGGATATTTTCCGAACGAAGGACTCAGTCCTTGGTTGAAATTCTGAGGATCCTCGACATTGGAACAGTCCTTCGACGGACGTCGATGACGTAGCATCCTTGAAATTCCGGCTTCCGAGGATCCTTCCTTGACATTGAGAAACGCCTACGGTATCGGTATTGGAGAAAACAGCCCGCAGGGGAACATAACCTTCAAGGTGTAAGTGTAACTGTTTGAATAAATAATAAACATAGCAGTTTGAACTCCACTTTATTATACCACACAGACCTCCAAAAACCCGCGACACTCCAGTAGCCTACCAAGTGCGCAGTCTGCACACGACCCATCTACGGCAAGCCCCGAGGGGAAAAATACATTGCATACACACATACAACGAGCGCCAAAACATCATTACCGGTATTATCGTAACAGACTTTCTTGGATTATGTCATGTAGGCCTAATATCTAACAAAGTCTCTTACGATAATAATAATAATACACATAAAGAGGGTTATTCTGCACGACGTGCAAAACTTAAGCCCCGCTTTGACTGTTGAAGAGAAGTGTGCTGAAGAGCTTGCATCAATGAGGGCTCTGCAAATTATATATAACGTTACATACAAACACACACACACACACACATATATATATAAAGACAGAGAATATTATTGTCCTCAAACAAAGCACTAATCTGTTTATTTTTAAGTTACACATTCTACATTGACTAAAAACATGTTTGATGTTTCTTTTTTAATCACAGTATTATTGTATACAGAAAAAAAATGTTTGTAATTCAGATGAGAATGAGGTTAGTGTTTTACAATTTTAAGGAAAGCAAATATTGAAATATAGCACATGGATTTTAAATTCATTCAGCTTCAATTACCAATTTGTAGTTTACCAATTTATCTTACTTTTATTTAAAGCAAACTATACATTTAAAAGATTAGGGTTATATGCATATTTTGTCATTTAAAAAAATACAAAATTGTTATGCAAAAAAATAAGGACCTACAGGAAAAATCTACAGTCAGCCACACACACACACACAGACACCCACAAACACAGACACCAGCAACTTATTTAAAACATACCAGGCTTAAGAAATATTTTATTTTGTCCCCCGGCCACAGCACAAGGCGCCGCAAAGCCGTCGTCTCCCGCGATGGATGGATGGATGTTTAGTGGCTTTTAATCTTTCAATTATCATATATATATATATATATATATATATATATATATATATATATATATATATATATATGTTTAGTGGCTTTTAATCTTTCAATTATCATATATATATATATATATATATATATATATATATATTATATATATGATAATTGAAAGATTAAAAGCCACTAAAAGCCTGTTGTATCATATTTGTCATTTACATTAACATAAAAAAGTAAAATAATTACATAAGTAAATAATCATCATTACATATATTAATAATGAGTGTATACATATACAAACATTAAATTCAACAAAAAAAATGCTAAATAAATTTATCGATAATTAATATTCAATTTAATTTACATTAATAAAGTAGGCAATAATAATGTATAATAAAAAATCAAATTATATATATATATATATATATATATATATAATATATATATATATATATATATATATATATATATATATATATATATATATATATATATATATATATATATATATATATATATTGTTGCGGTCCCTGGTCTAGGTCAGACAGTAACATAAACACTAACACCAATTCCTTCAGTTAGCTTGAATTTATTATCATTCTGGATTTGTTTCAAAAGCAGCATTTCTTATCATTCACCAAAACAATATCTGTAAAATAAATTAACAAAGAAAACAAACAGGAAAAAGATTAAAAGCAAGATCTTCAGGGTGAGCTAATGCCAAAATAATAAACCAAACAGAACTAACTTTCCCCAAAGAAACTACCTTACCTATGAATTAAAATAAAACTACTTAACTACCAATAAACAGGAGAAAAACAAAGGCCTTTCAGCCTACAAAAGAAACAAGGTACTCACCCCCTACGGCTTCTCAAATAATCATACACATACAGATGAGATCATCAACACTGGCGTTTTAACACAAATCACTCAGGATCAAAGAAACCATACAAGAGCACATTAATCACACGATTGTGCTACATTTTCACAGAGAGCAAACACACAGTACAACCCCAGTTGCAATCAATGGCAGAGCGCCCCCTCTAGTGGTATTCCAGGGAATTTATGGTCCAGGCCTCTCCTCTGATCCAATCACAATCAGCGTGTTGTTAGATCCAGGACCAATCCTAAAGGAGAAGGAGACAGCAGCAACAACAGCAGAACCAACATAGCTGCATTACATCACAACCGTAACAATATAAACATTCAAATTAACAATTAAATAAATAAAAAAATGATGTATGATAATTAACATTAACACGAGCATGAATAAATTAAATCTTTAAAAATACAATTTAAATTAATGTAAATCATATATATAGGCCTACAAACATTAAAATAATAATGAAAAATGAAAAAGTCATGTTTTTTAAAAAAAATATATGTTTTTTTGTCTCAGAATAAGATGGAAAATAGCAGAAAGTAGTGTCTAAAAAAACGTAAATATTAACAATAAAAATGTATGATAATGTTTAATAATATGAACATGAATACATTATAATTGGTATAATTAATATTTTAGCCTAGAAACATTACAATAACAACAAACAAACAATTATTAAAAGTCATGTGTTAGGAAAAGATCATGAAATTGTATTATTTGTGTCCTAATACGATGGAAAATATCAGGCAAATGAGTCTTAAAATCAATTTTGGCGTCTTTCAGCACCCATACCGTGCAGGATTTGACGTGCATGCATGCAAAAAAAAAAAAAAAAAAAAAAATGTGCGGCTAGCTTGACCGTGTATTTTCCACGCGCGGCCCACGACTGCGCGGTCAAGTGGGCCGCACGTGGAAAATACACGGTCAAGCCAGCCGCACCCGGTATCACGACAAGACGTGAAATAATCACGTTGGCCCACTTTGGAAAACGTGTAGATGTCACGGTTTAACAAAACCATAAATAGGGCTATACTGCCCTCTTGTGTCAAATTATATTTTCATATTTATTTTTCCAACAAATAAAACCAAACCTATAATAAAAACCCATCCAATAAACCCTTGAACTTAACAGACTCAGTGGTTCAGTTGATAAAGCATTGGGCTTCAATCAAGAAAACCTGAGTTCAAATCTCATTCTTGCTTACATTAAATTGTTGTGATTTTATCAAACCAAGTGGCCAAAACAACATTTCTCCAGCCGACAAGACGTGAAATAATCACTTGGTTCACTTTGGAAAATGTGTAGATGTCACGGTTTCACTCCCTCAAACGTGAAATTTGCACTTAAACTGAAACTTAAACTTATACCATATTGGTTTTCATCAAACCGAGAAAAATGGGATTTTGTTTTATTGACGATCACTGAAAAATGGTCTATTGTTAAAAATGTAAAAAACATTTATTATTTTCAAGGTGAAAAGGATTCATTTGCCTCGATCCACGCCGAAACAAAACGTCTAAATGTCACGTTTTTAATGAAGCAGCCTAAATGGTCCACTTTGGAAAACGTGTAGATGTCACGGTTTAACCCCCTCAAACGTGAAACTTACACGTTTGCGTTAACACGCTCCAGTGGAGAGATACCCGTGTTGACCTATTCTACACGCAATCGCCTCTGCCAACGACCTATTGGTTTTCATTAAACCGAGAAAAATGGAATTTTGTTTTATGTAGCCTACGATCACTGAGAAATGTTCTACTATTTAAAATGCAAAAAACATTTATTATTTTCAAGGTGAAAAGGATTCATTTGCGCCGAAGAAAACGTCTAAATGTCACGTTTTTAATGAAGCAGCCTAATGAGTAATGTCTATTTTTCCGCAGAGGCGGACAGAGTACACAGCTTTATTACTTGAGTAAAAGTACAGATACCCCTTGCTAAATTTGACTCAAGTACAAGTAAAAGTACTACAGTCAGATGTCTACTTGAGTAAAAGTACTGAAGTACTTGTTTTTAAAAGTACTAGAGTATCAAGAGTACAAAAGTACATTTTCTAAATATTGCATTACAACTGCCACAGTGCTTACATTTATGGACAGAAACGTCCTACATGGAGTTATGAAAAATGTTAAAGTCAATACCTTGGAGAATGTAAAAGGAATTGAAAGTAAAATCAAGTCGTATTCATCTTTTTACCATGTTGCTTTATTTATCAGAAAATTCAGAAAATTTAAATAGTCTGGCGAGGTGGGGCCACGGGCTGGCACATTCCCGGGATGGACCTGCTGCATCTTCATCCATTGGTTTCGTCCGTCCATGGTTTGGTCTCTTATACAAATCTGACCATGGAGTTGACTTTGCCGGAAAGCTGAAGGTGATTGCTGATAGGTTGTCCCAATCAGTGGATCCTGCACAATCCAATCACGTTTGAGAGGGAAACAACTATTTGAGGGTTTCCGAGATTTTTCTTATTTCCATTTTTTTTTTTTTTTTTTAGAAGTAGTTACTTTTTACTCATGGTTATGGATAGAAATGTATTGGAGTAAAGAGTACAATATTTCACTCTCAAATATACTTGAGTAAAGTCATGAGTACTCCCCAAAAATGATACTCGGGTAAAGTACAGATCCTTCAAAATTGTACTTAAGTACTGTACTCATAACCTGCTTTCTGGAATACCCCTCCGGTATCACGACAAGACGTGAACGTTGGTCCACTTTTGAAAACGTGTAGATGGTTTAAACCCCCTCAAACGTGAAACTTACACTTAAACTGAAACTTACCATCACAAACTATTGGTTTTCATTAAACCGAGAAAAATGGAATTTTGTTTTATTGACGATCACTGAGAAATGGTCTATTATTTAAAATGCAAAAAACATTTATTATTTTCAAGGTGAAAAGGATTCATTTGCCTCGATCCATGGCGAAAAAACGTCTAAATGTCACATTTTTAATGGAGCAGCCTAAATAGTCCACTTTGGAAAATGTGTAGATGTCACGGTTTAACCCCCTCAAACGTGAAACTTACACGTTTGCGTTAACACGCTCCAGTGGAGAGATATCCAGATGTTTATTCGCCTCTGCCATAACGACCTATCGGTTTTCATTAAACCGAGAAAAATGGAATTTTGTTTTATTTACGATCACTGAGAAATGTTCTATTATTTAAAATGCAAAAAACAAACAAACAAAAAAAAAAAAAAAACATTTATTATTGTCAAGGTGAAAAGGATTCATTTGCCTCGATCCACGCCGAAGCAGCCTAAATAGTCCACTTTGGAAAATGTGTAGATGTCAGGTTTTCATTAAACCGAGAAAAATTGAATTTTGTTTTATTTACGATCACTGAGAAATGTTTATTATTAACCTGACATCACATTTTTCAACGTGGAATATTTAGGCTGCTTTATTAAAAATGTGACATTTAGACGTTTTCTTCGGCGTGGATCCAGGCAAATGAATCCTTTTCACCTTGACAATAATAAATGGGTTTTTTTTGCATTTTAAATAATAGAACATTTCTCAGTGATCGTAAATAAAACAAAATTCCATTTTTCTCGGTTTAATGAAAACCGATAGGTCGTTATGGCAGAGGCGAAATACCTTTTTTTTTTCGGGTCGAAATTTTGATTTTCGATATCTCAGCTCTGGAAGGGTCTAGAGCCTCCATTGTTGCACTCAGGTCTATGTCTCATGGCCCTCTATCAGAATCCAGAGTTTTGAGAAGATTGGGGATACTAAATTTTTCGCCCAAAAAAAAAAAACGTAAGGGGTAACACTGTCGTTTTTTTTTTCTGGTCGAAATTTTGAATTTTGACATCTCAGCTCTGGAAGGGTCTAGAGCCTCCATTTTTGCACTCAGGTCTAAGTCTCATGGCCCTCTATCAGAATCCAGAGTTTTGAGAAGATTAGGGATACTTAATTTTTCGCCCAAAAAAAAAACCGTAAGGGGTAACACTGTCGTTTTTTTTGGGTCGAAATTTTGAGTTTCGATATCTCAGCACTGGAAGGGTCTAGAGCCTCCATTGTTGCACTCAGGTCTATGTCTCATGGCCCTCTATCAGAATCCAGAGTTTTGAGAAGATTGGGGATACTTAATTTTTCGCCCAAAAAAAAAAACGAAAGGGGTACCACTGTTGTTGTTTTTTTCGGGTCGAAATTTTGATTTTCGATATCTCAGCTCTGGAAGGGTCTAGAGCCTCCATTGTTGCACTCAGGTCTAAGTCTCATGGCCCTCTATCAGAATCCAGAGTTTTGAGAAGATTGGGGATACTAAATTTTTCACCCAAAAAAAAAACGTAAGGGGTAACACTGTTGTTTTTTTGGGGGGTCGAAATTTTGATTTTCGATATCTCAGCTCTGGAAGGGTCTAGAGCCTCCATTGTTGCACTCAGGTCTATGTCTCATGGCCCTCTATCAGAATCCAGAGTTTTGAGAAGATTGGGGATACTTAATTTTTCGCCCAAAAAAAAAAAACGTAAGGGGTAACACTGTCGTTTTTTTTTTTCTGGTCGAAATTTTTAATTTCGATATCTCAGCTCTGGAAGGGTCTAGAGCCTCCATATTTGCACTCAGGTCTAAGGCTCACGGCCCTCTATCAGAATCCAGAGTTTTGAGAAGTTTGGGGATACTTAATTTTTCGCCCCAAAAAAAAAACGTAAGGGGTAACACTGTCGTTTTTTTCGGGTCGAAATTTTGAGTTTCGATATCTCAGCACTGGAAGGGTCTAGAGCCTCCATTGTTGCACTCAGGTCTATGTCTCATGGCCCTCTTCAAGTAAATGTACTCCGATACTGTCCGGCTCTGTTTATCCGGTGTCCCCCAGCTCCTCGTTTAAGCAAAAGGTACTTTAAAACAATGTATTACATCGACGTTAAACCACGTTAACCGTGTTAACCATAACCTTTTAAATACTCGACCTAGTTCCGTTGTTTAGCAACGAGAAGAAACTCCTGTAACTTCAGTGCCCAACCCATCACGACAAGACGTGAAATAATCACGTTGGTCCACTTTGGAAATCGTGTAGATGTCACGGTTTAACTGCAGTGATAGTTTAAACTCAAAACCATAAATAGGGCTATACTGCCCTCTTGTGTCAAATTCTTTCTATATTTATTTTTCCAACAAATAACCCGCAATAAAAATCCATCCAATACAACTTTGAACTCAACACATTCAGTGGCTCAGTTGATAAAGCGTTGGGCTTCAATCAAGAATACCTGAGTTCAAATCCCAGTCTTGCTTACATTAAATTGTTGTGATTTTATCAAACAAAGTGGCCAAAACAACATTTCTCCAGCCGACAAGACGTGAAATAATCACTTTGGTCCACTTTGGAAAACGTGTAGATGTCACGGTTTCACTCCCTCAAACTAGAAACTTACACTTAAACTGAAACTTAAACTTACCATAACGACCTATTGGTTTTTGACATTTTGACACCAACGACCTATTGGACCTAACGACTTTTTGGTTTAAGTGCTATAACACGCTTTGATGATTGGGCTGGGTTTGCCTGAACTTTTCTCCAAAACTATACAGTAAAATGACTTTTGATCGCTCTCTCTCTTCTCTCTCTCTCTCTCTCTTCTGAACTGCGAATGTCAAATTTGCATCACAGACAAATGGTTTAATTAAAATATAGTTTATACTGTATATAGAAATGGCTGGCGATATAAACATGTTCAAGATAACGTCTTTATAGGAATAATAAATAATTTCTCCAGTACCGACAGCAGAACCGATAACGTCCGAGTTTATCGATACAGCGGTCTTTCAAAATTCAGTACCAGGGCCCGTTTAATACCGGGTTTTGGTACCCATCCCTAATCATTACATATATTAATAATGAGTGTATACATATACAAACATTAAATTCAACAAAAAAAATGCTAAATAAATTTATCGATAATTAATATTAATATTCTATTTAATTTACATTAATAAAGTAGGCAATAATAATGTATAATAAAAAAATCAAATTATATATATATACATTCATAAACATTCATAATTAACAATTAAATGTAAAAAAAATGATGTATGATAATTAACATTATCATGAGCATGAATAAATTAAATCTTTAAAAATAAAATTTAAATTAATGTAAATCATATAGGTCTACAAACATTAAAATAATAATAAAAAATGAAAAAGTCATGTTTTTTAAAAATATATATATTTTTTGTCTCCGAATAAGATGGAAAATAGCAGAAAGTAGTGTCTAAAAAACGTAAATATTAACAATAAAAATGTATGATAATGTTTAATAATATGAACATGAATACATTATAATTGGTATAATATTTAAGCCTAGAAACATTACAATAACAACAAACAAACAATATTAAAAGTCATGTGTTAAGAAAAGATCATGAAATTGTATTATTTGTGTCCTAATACGATGGAAAATATCAGGCAAAAGAGTCAAAATCAATTTTGGCGTCCTTCAGCACCCATACCGTAACTGCAGGATTTGACGCGCATGAAAAAAAAAAAAAAAAAAAAAAATGTGCGGCTAGCTTGACCGTGTATTTTCCACGCGCGGCCCAATTGACCGCAGTGTTCTAAGCGCGAACACCCGACGTGCACATGTACTAAAAGCTTGTCTAACAGCGCCTGGTTGCTGGACTAAGTTATCTTTGGAGTATTATTTCGCTATTACTCTCAAATACACACAAGGTTTACATAAAAACATTTGGTTATGTCTAAACTCAAAGCAAACCGAGAAAATTGAGAGAAATCTGCTTGTCAAATGCTCCGTGTATATTAGACGCGTCGCGCATAGGTCTTAAAGTGACAGTAGCCCTAATAATAAACATGCAGCCGCTTGTTCTTAAAGGGATAGTTGACCCCAAAATAAAAATTCTGTCATTGTTTATTCACTGTAATGTTGTTCCAAACCTGTATTAATTTATTTCTTGTGCTGAACAAAAAAGATATTTTGAAGAATGTGGGTAACCAGACAGTTGCTGGTCCCCATTGACATCCATAGGGAAAAATTTACTATGGAAAATTACTATATTTAAATACTATAAAACCATATACTACATATACTATATAAAATACTATATTTTCCTGCTTTTTTGTCCTTAGCCAATCACATGCCTGATTGATGTGGCATCCATATATAAAAAAAAAGATTTGCCATATGCAGCTGTTTCTACATTTGGCACCATAAATCGAAACTGATTTCCCCCTTGGTGTTGAATAGAACATTCCAGCTTTTGGGGCAAATTTTCTTTGTCTTTTACTCAACTTACCCATGGTTAACTTTGTTAATGTTAATGTTTTTTTTTTTTTTTTCTCCAGCCCTCTGCCATGGCTGCTGATATTGAGAGAGCTGTCACCCTGCCAAGCACACCTCGATTAGTTGTCCCAGGTATAATCTTCCCTTATTTTGTAAAAGTTAATTCTTTATTGAATTCATGTGTTTGATGGAGGACTGTTGCACATAAAAAAATAATTTATTTGAGTTGTTGATGGAGGGTGTACGCACGGGTCAAAGGAGATAATAATGTTCAAGTGGTGGTGTGGAAGTCTTTCTCCACTTGAACATTACTGAATTCATCTAGGTGGCAATAGACCCCGAAGCCATTTGTTTTGAGAATAATGGCTGGCTGATGACGTTATTGGCTGGCTAGCCAGCTCAGCCAAAACCTAAATGGCTGCTGCAGCCGCCAAACTTTTCATAGCTGCAAACGGCTGAAGCTGCCACTTCATGTCTACATATGTCTATGTTATACTGATTTACTAGATCTCAATATTTTCAAGCAATGCATGGCTTACACTACATTCTTACAAAATGCAATACAATGTAATAAAGAAATGCAATACAATTACTTATAAGAATGGTTGCACAAAACACCTAAAGTGAAGATTTAGAACTAGCCTATTTGAGCTATTTGGTAATATTAGCTATAGTGCTAGGCGGATTCAATAGCCACTGTAACGTTAGTGAATAATGTCCCTGCTGCTGTGTAAGAATGCACACTTGTCAAACTTCACGGAGTAACGTTATGCATATATTTATGACATGTACAGTAATTCGCTGTTCAACTTTATAGTTAAGCTGAGACAATACGGATGAATAGGGTAAAAATTTTAACTAGCAGATATCACCATGAAACTTTCCCAGTTGATTACTTATATTAAGATGAGAAAAAGAAAATATCACAAGTTTTCTTTAATTTTATGTTTAAATATGCAAATTAGGCAATATATAATATGTGCCAATTTTTTGCATACATTTTAAAAAACGAAATCTGAGTCTTGGATAAAGCCAGGTTAAAAAAAAATTTTCATTGTGTTCACATATTAGATGGGGAAAAATTACAGAGGGATTTATGGATATCTACTTTTGTTATCCTGTAAATCAGAATATAATGATTTTCGCCATGATTTTTGGAATAAAATGTTATACATATCAGGCTACAAATAATATATTTACAAATCCCTCTTTAAATGTCTTCATAAAATAACTAGATCTACTGAAGTGGAGATTTCTACAGACGCAAACAGGCGAAGTGTAGTAAAATAAATACCTAAATGTATATTTCGGATTTTTTTTTACCACAATTCTGAAAGGACACGAAGACAAAAACCCTAAAATCTCAAAATTGACCAGTAAAAAAAAAATATATATATATATATTATATATATATATATATATATATGTTTTTGCCTGCCGTATTATTTTGGACAAAGTGCACACTTCAATGTACACTTAAGCATGCATCGTGAATTAGAAATGTGGAAACGGGGTTGTTACTGCAGTAATATCACGTTCAGTGCTATAAATCTCTCCGTTCCAGAATATTTATTTCATAACATCAATCTTTGATTCAGGTGTTAAGTGCAACCGGAAAGTATGTGAGAACTGAGAAGTGCGATCTAAATTACCTTTCGTGCTTCGTTCCGCCATTTCACCTCAACTTCAAGTGCGAGGGGAAAAAAACATAGCTTCTGTATGGAAAATTAGCAATTTTAATTGGTCGTCAATTCACACTGAGTCTGAGTCTGTCTGCGTATTCGTAGCAACGAGCACAAGACTGTGCTGTTGTGAATCCAGTGGGAAAATATATTTCGTGTGTCTATATGTGATAGAAATATTATTTGATGCAAATAATTTTAGCCGGCTCAGCCAAACTTTATCAGCTGGCGGCTCAATTTGGCTTACGAGATTATTGGCTGGCGGCGGCTGATATTCTAAATGGCGGCGCCTGGCGGCGGCTTCGGGGTCTAGGTGGCAATAGTGTGTTGTGCAGCTTTTAGTTATCATATTGTTAATGTTTCATATCATATTGTTATCATAATGTTTTAGAAGAGATACTTCGTGGCGCAGACACATGGAATATCTCCGTGGAAGGAGCATGTGTGATGGGGCCCCACAGTAACCTCCTGCATGGACTGGCAGCAGTCTTCGCTGCCTACTTTGTCTTTAACTTGCAATATCCAGCAGAAGTCGCAAGCACACTTGAATTCCTTCAGAGGTGAGTTCAAACATGACACTGTCATGAAAATGATTATAGCAATTATGGAGGTATATTTGATTTAAATCAACTTAATGCCTGTGACAGTGCGATTTGTAGTTGTAGAGAAAATCCACACATTACACACACACACACACACACACACACACACACACACACACATCAAGAAATGTGAAGTTGTGAAGAAATTTTGCACATGCTCAAATCAGTATGTGAATTTACCCAAATCATTTTAAGCGAACTTAAAATACAATTGTGCATCATTTCATAAAGTTCATATATATACGTTTATGAAATGAAATGCACAATTGTATTTTAAGTTCACGCTGAAACTACATTTTTCTTTTTCTTTTTAAAATAATCCATTAAACTTGCTGAGAAATGATTGTGTGAACTAAAATGAGCAGTATACATATACAAGACATATACAAGAAATATTCTTCAAGGTTGCAACTCTCATTGGATGAATTCACATACTGATTTACAGTTGTTCATAAATTTCTCCACGACTTCACATTTCTTGATGTTGGTGTATAAATGCGTTTCACACCAAATCACTGCAGCAACTGTATCAAAAATGTGAGCGTACAAGTTCATTAAAGGGATAGTTCACTTTGAAATTAATTTTTGATATGTTTTAGCTTACCTCAAGGGCATCCAAGATGTGTCTTTGTTTCCACAGTATTTTCCATTTTGATATATTTTTAGGTCAAACCGTTCCTGTCTGTCAGTCATATAATGGAGGTGTATGGTCACCACTTCAAAGAGCATGCACAGAGAAGTCCAAATTAAACATGATTTAATGACTCATAAATGTAAGTACACATTGATGGCCTAAGACACGAAACGAGCGGTTTGTGTGAGAAAACGAACAGTATTTATATCGTTTTTACCTCTTGTAACCACAGCCGTATCCAACTGATCTGACGGCACGGGCGCTTTGGTCTGCACAAGCCCCGGAAGTGATCTCTTGTGCATGTACACACATTGTTTACACAGATTTTAGAAGTTTAACTTTTCACTGTGAAGATCTAAACATATTTAGATGTACAGGAAATCGCAATGGAAGACGATTTCGATATTTAGATCTTCACAGTGAAAGGTAAAACTTCCGAAATCTGTGTAAACAATGAGTGACGCACATGCGCGAGAGATCACTTCCGTGGCTTTCTGGCGCGCTTGCGCAGATAGAAGCGGCCTCGCCCTCAGAGTACTTGGACGTCACTGCGATTACACAAGGTAAAAACGATATTAATACCGTTTGTTTTCTCTCACAAACCGCTCGTTTCGTGTATTAGGCCATCAATGTGTACTTACATTTACGAGTCATTAAATCATGTTTAATCTGGACTTCTCTGTGCATGCTCTTTGGGGTGGGCCCCATAAATCTCCATTATATGATGCATAGACAACGACGGTTTGTCCAAAAAATATCAAAATTGAAAATACTGTGGAAACAAAGACACCTACATCTTGGATGCCCTTGAGGTAAGCTAAAACATCAAAAGGAATTTGAGATGGTGTAATTTGGGAGAGAAAAAATGTTTACAAGTTTGCAACTCTTAAAATATTTCTCTCTTTGGCTTCAAATTTACTGATACACGTGCATGGCTTTTGTCTATAACTACAAATCACACTGTCACAGGCGTTCAGTTGATTTGAATCAAATATACCTCCATTAGTAATGACGAAAACGAACAGTATTTACGTTGTTTTTACCTCTTGTAATCACAGCCACGTTCAAGTGATCTAAGGGCACGGGCGCTTTGTGGCTGTGGCTACATGAGGTAAAAACGATATAAATACTGTTCGTTTTCTCACACAAACCGCTCGTTTCGTGTCTTAGGCCATCAATGTTTACTTACATTTACGAGTCATTAAAGGTGCCATCTACCATAATAAATCAAATCCTACTCCATATTCCATAACAGATGGGGGCAGTATACCTCCAAAAAATTACTTGTGCTCCTACCATCGCGCATGTTATTCAAATCATTTGACATGATAGTAAAAGGTTGGAAGACCGCAGTTTCACGTGGAACATTTGGAGATTTTTAGAGATCAGAGACTCAATGAACTAAACACTAGAGTGAACTAAACTAAACACTATGAATCTCAACACTAAATGATGAAGACCGCCTCATAGATCTCAAAAACAAGCTGGTGCATTTCGACGGTATGGGAAAATAAAAGCTTGGGCAATTATTTGAAGTTTATGGTATTCGTTTTGTTCATATTACACTTTTATTGTTAGTGAATTAATTTGACAGACAGCATTCGCTGATGTTGATCAAGCTAGCGCCGTGAATTCACCGTGAGACACACGCAATTGACACTTAGCAAGCAGGTTAGTTAAGCTCTCAGATTCTGTCAATTATATTACGCAATTCAAAGAATAAATACCGTTTTGGCGCTTGTACATGTTACACTACAGATCCCTAGCGCACGTGAACCGATCGTCTCTACTAGCTGGAAAAAGAACATGAACTCTGTTGAAAGATACAGTATGCTACAACTTACCAAAATGTATTCCTCATGCATAATGTCGACCAATCATTTTTTGAACTCTTCCCTGAACTGAAATGTAGTAGTGGGCTGTATTTCCACACGACTGACATCAGGTTCAAGTACACACACACACACACACACAAGCCGTCACGAGCGCGACTCACTCGCGTATTGCAGTTTGGCTGGTGCTAACGTTGCCCGTCCGCATACCGCCTCCCATGGCCGGAACTGGTATTACGATACCTGCCGGGCCGGGGCTAGTAATTTAGCATGCTAATTCAGGTTAATATCTCGGCAGCACTATAACTTGTCAGTTTTTTAATGACATCTTTGCACTTATTTCTTCTCATTCTTTTGATGCGTGTAGCTCATTTTTCGTATATTGTTACCTCAATTATTACATATGGCACCTTTAAATCATGTTTAATCTGGACTTCTCTGTGCATGCTCTTTGAGGTGGTGACAATAGACCTCCATTACATGACTGACAGACAGATATCAAAATTGAAAATACTGTGGAAACAAAGACACCTACATCTTGTATACCCTTGAGGTAAGCTAAAACATACCAAAAATGTATATCAAAGTGAACTATCCCTGTAATGTTTCATGTCATGGTAATGACCATGTCATATCAGTCTTAAATGTTATCTGATAAGTGTGTTTCCCTCCCTGTTTTCAGAGCCTTTTGCAGCATCCCCAGATCGGCAGGCAGAGAAAAAAACGTCCAAAATGTGCATTGTGGACTCGTTTTCTCATTAGTTTTAAGAGAAAATAAAAATATATATTTAAAAAAAAAGTGTTTTGTTTTTCTTTGCAGAAGTCTGAAAGAGGACATTTATCCAAGTTACAATATTTATTTGTAATATTTACAATATGCTGTCCTATGAAATTACAGAAAATACCTAAAATTACAGGAAATTCCTGGCTACTGAGTTGCCGTAAATATAAAATTTTGCTGTAAAATTTACAGTATTCTATCCTGTAAAATTACAGTATCTTGTTGTAGTTATTTTACAATAGCAGTCCTGTATACTGTTTACAGTAAATTTACGGCAACTATTAGCCTGTAAAATTACAAGAAATTTCTAACAGTGTATCTTTTTAAATGGGGAAACTCCAAATTCTTCAATACTGTCTCATAAATGTGGTTCTTATGCTCAAATATCGTTAAAAAGCTTTTTTTTTTCAGCTAATGCAGAACAATCAGCAATTGGCTCTTGACATTTATTCCGCCATTTTGCACTTTCTTCCACTCATAAGGGTTGTAACTTATCCACACACAGCAAAGACATCATGAAACTGTAATGAAGTAGAATTCCCAACAGATACTGTAGCAAATGCTTTAATTTCACATTGGCAGTTGACATCAAAAGCATGATTTCCCAAGATTTTGGCAAATGCATTTCTGAATCCTTTAGAAAAGAGTGTTTTAAGTTTTAAGTTTAAAAGAACAGATATGCGGGAACCAGCAAGAGTACAAGAGCTTTCCAATTTACAAAGTATACATTGGCCAGCAGCAGCAAACATTCCTTAAAGATTATACAACAAACTAGTCATCAAGCATTCTCTGAGGACTTCGTTTTCATTCATATTCATGGCTAATGCATCACAGAAATCCAAACCAATAGCATACAGTATAATGTAGAACAGGATACTCAGTTACATGGCAGATGCTCCTCAATCTAACAAATATATCAGTATGTACAGACGAGTTCCAGTTCGTATTGTTAAACAACGGACCAGGCGAAAGGACTAGGTCAGTAACGTTGGCATCACTTGGTTTTTCTGAGTCCATGGGAATGGGACAGATCAAAGTTAAAGACAAGAGCATAGTGAAACCACTATCAAATTGACCCCTACATTCTTATAAATGAGATATTTACAGCACATGTCAAACACATATTAATTTGAGTGAGAAATCCTGAAGCCTGAGGATAAAAAAGTCAAGTTAACGTAAGATCACAAC